GGAAAGAAAACCATCTTGAAAAATATAAAACGAGAATTTTGTGCAGGTGGTGTTTTTTGCTTCCTAAGGATAAGACGGCGGAGTAGTCTCTTGCTTCTAAGACGTGACATTTTGACCACCTTCCTCGAAGTGCCAAGCACCAGGGAAGGGCTATATAAGACTGGCCTAAGTAATTTAATTAAAGTATACAATTCTATCGACATGTTCCACAAAGAACGATCAAGGTCTATTCTGAAAGGGGTAGTAGGGCGGACTCTAACAAAAACTTGTGGTTTTTGTTGTTTGGCTCCAATAGTCGTTCGGATCACCTATGATGACCGCATCAGGAAAGGGAAAGTGTGTGATCTAGCCAAGGCGGTAGTTCGCCAACGCTGTTCAGACCAACTCCTAGCGGACTTCATGATATCGAGATTGAAGATAGTATGGACAGTTAACAAGTCTGTTGCTGACAGGCTACATAACCATAGACAGCTGTCTCGTACAGAAACAGCAAGTTGTTCCTACCTCCACACTCGAAAGGATCTCCCCCGAAACGAAGAAGGACATGTGGCTTTTCGGTTTTCACAGGTAGGCTTCATACCCGTGTCTCTCAAGAATGCAAATAATATTTTGCAGCCTCGGTTGTCCATGTCTATGGCCAAACTGAAGAGGGCACTATTTGAAGGACTAGCCACGATACCAAGCGGAGACAACTGCATAGGGGGTCGTGCAGCCCTCCATTCAAGTTTTCTCGAGCAGCACCAGATTTGCTTGACGAATGATGATGATGTTGCAGTATGGGAAGAATATCTGAAGGGCTTAGTGATTGCACCCACTGACCACAACGATGGAGATTCCTACGCCTGTTGTGTTTCCATCTTCTATAGAGCACTTAAACTATTGTATTGGGGTAACGAAGGGTTTGTTGTGGACCAACGGTCGGCAAAAGAAATTTTGACCAGCTGCAGGTCAGCGTATTATGGTATTCAGGCTCGGGCAATGGCTCCTTGGTACACGAAGGGGAGGTTGGGGTGTGCATACTGAATCCCAAAACACAAGGATGTTAATAGGTGGAGACCTATAGCACCTTTTTTTCAGAGCCAAGCGTGAGAGCCTGCAAGCTGGTAGCTAAAGCGGTCAACGGGTTACTGTGGAAAATCCCAGAAACCAGCCACTTCAATTTGAAAAGTATAAACTTGTTAAAAAAATGCATCATGAAGCTAGACGGAAGGGTGAAAAAGATGACTGACGGCACGCTGATCTCGTCCTGCTTCAATATTAAAGAGATGCTTACGAAATTGCCCCATTTGGAGATCATTAGGGCAGTAGAATGGGTGTGCAATTTTTTTCTGGCAAAAGGACACAATGCCATCCGTGTCAACAAATCAGGTAAATGGATTGTGTTGGGAAAAGGGCACGGTGAAAAAGGTTGGGTTAGAATCAAGTTTTGCTTATTGATTGAATTCGACAAATTCGATTTAGAACACTCCTTTTCCAAAGTCTCATCTCTCATTATCCGACAGACTGTAGGAATTCCAATGGGGAAAAGTTCTAGTCCTGCCCTTGCCTGCCTTGTATGTGCTCATCAGGAATTCTGTTTTGTCAATTCTTTAGGCAAGGACCGTCGTCTGGTCGTCAGTTTTAGGCTAGTGGATGATGTTGCCTTTTCCTTATCCTTCCCAACTTCTCTCAGGCAATCCTTGACAAGACAAGGGCTATCTTTACAGAGTTTAGTCTCATCTACAACCAGAATCTTACTCTAGTAAGGACCGATGATCAGTTCGGGGAATTACACTGTGAAGCCAAGATGAAAAACCAGACTGATGTTTGGGACAAGGGCAAGATCACATTCCAAACCACTCAGGATTATTGATCGTATGGACCCAAGACGCAAAAGATACGTGTCATCAAATGCCACCTTCACAGAATCATGACCCACTCCTCCAATTCCAGAGGAGTGGGTTAGTGTCTGCCTTCACTCAGGCGGGAACTCGGACTCAAGAACTTTCCAGCTTGGATGTTCCCGAAGGCACTTAAAGATTTTTCTTCGGCCAATGAGGGGTGCTGGAATGGATGGGTCCGATTCTTTTCGGAAGGTTTAGAGGAGAAATGGAAACGTTTGCAACCATGCCGTGCGGGACGGTTTTTTTCCAGAATCTGGAGTCTGCCCCAAGAACTACAGGATATCAGATTTGCGCAGCGGCCTCGTATCTCACACGTCATCAGCATGTGATATCCTGACCCTAGCAATGACCAAGTAGCTATCTGACCTCTCCCCTTGCCGGAATGGACTACAGCCGGCGGGAAAAAAGGACAATTCCGCCCATAGGAAAACGTGTCAGGAGAAGAACAGCTCACATGCTTCCCTCCTTCATTCCCACTCCTATACCTCTACGGTCTACCCATGTTTTCAGCTTCCTTTACTAGACTGTCCAAAGCCACGATGACGATCGCTGTCTCCGCATATCCATCCCCAATCGTTTTGGCTGATGTTCTTTTTTCCCGCTTGTCGCACTTGTCCACACTTCCAGCCTGTTTTTTGCCTCATACGGTCCATCACCCACCTCCACCTCGCTGCCCGCCCCCTTTTTTCTGCACATAGTTTTCTGCCCTCCCGACCTGCTTTCCCGCTCCTGCTCTCATCCCAACCTCTGCGTCCACGCCTCCAACCTGTTTTCCTGCCCCTGCAGTCCTCCCGTTTTCTGACTTCTCCCAGATCTCACTTATCTCCTACACCCCCCATCCTCTGACCTGTTTCAAACTTGTGCTCTCTACTGGGACGTAGACAGAGGATGAAAGCTTCCAGCATCGACGCGCGCAATGACGGGAGAACCAACAGCATTACCTCGAGTGTATATCTCATTAGTTAGAGTCACTTCGCAAGCGCATTGATCCCATGATGATGGCCACTTAGGCGAGGTGGCCGAAACATGTCGGGATTAATCGCCTGGCCCCACTCCATATTTTCGTGACTATAATTTTTCGGAAGTGGAGCCCTTATTGTGCTATTTGCGAGTTGGTCTAATTTTTCTCTTCCCTCTCTTCCCCCCCCTTTCCTTTCTTCTTCTTCTGCTTCTGCTGCCTCTTCTTCTTCTTCTTCTTCTTCTTCTTCTTCTTCTTCTTCCTTCCTTCTCCTTTTCCTCACTACCTCCTCTCCTTCTGTTGCGTACTTTGGTTGCCTAGTCAAACCCCATCTCGCGCACTGGTCCGGGCTCATGCTCGACTTTTGCGACTGCATCGTCGGCTATCACGTCCTCACAGAGTCTCTCTTTTTTTTTCTTTTTTTTCTTTTTTTAACACAAGGCTCTGATCTATTCATCGGGAGCATCATGTGCTGGGAAGCGGGCCCAGCATCCCTTATGATGTCTGTGTATCAGTGAGAGAAAACACCAGTAAGTTGGAAACCGGGTCCAGTGTCCCATGCCCCCTTTTCGGGGTGGACTCCCTCTTCATCCCTCATTAGGAGCCCAAAACTTTTTTTTTTTTTTTTGAAGTGCAAACAGCCTCGGAGGCAGCTTGAGGTGCTGGTAGGAGCAGACACTTCAGGCTGGTCCGGGCAAGGCTCCATCGATTGGTGGGGAGCAGCACCTGCTGGGAAACGGGCCCAGCATCCCCATTACAGGGGGGGGGGAAAAAAAGGATGCCCAAAACAAACAAGCCACCTTAGCAGAAACCAAACCCAGAAAAACCGACCCAGCCTACCCTCTATGATCTATCCATCACCTACCTACAGCTGGGAAACCGGGTCCAGTGGTCTTGGTATGCTTTTCCAGGGATTGGACCAAACACAGAGGGGCTAGAGGGGCGCCTGGGGCCTACAGCTTTGGTGACTGTGGGGACATACAGCAAACATTTTGATGTCCAAGAGGAATTTCTTGGTAGCCCACAGTTGTGCACCGGCAGGCTTAGAGACCGATTGAACCAGTGTACCAGACTGCCAGTAGAAATATTTCCAAGAGGGTGCAGAGCAGAGGATTCAGACGTGACAAGTGGGTGTAGTGACATCAGTCGGCTGGGGCCGAAGGGCCACCGCCGCACATCAGTCAGCTGGGGCCAAAGGGCCACCGCCTGGTGGCGCCTATGGTCGGGCGTATTTCGTCGATATCGGACGCCGACCGAAGGCAGGCACGAAGTGCAGCAAGACGTGCTGGACACGAAAGCAACATGCAAGATTGTACAAAAATAGGTCAAATTATCTATGATCGTATGATTAGATTATTATTAAACAGATTAGCGGTGGTTAAAGGATTATTGGTCAGCAATAGAATTGTCATCGAAACGCTCAGTAAAACCAACCATCCCACATTATTCACTAATGGAGGCTCTGCAGCATACATATAAGCAATCTGAAATAAGTTCAAATAACCATTCGTTTTTCATTTTGTATTGTATGTTCTCGTTTTGTTGATGGGCCCATAGAGGTCACGGGAGAAACCATCATTTATTTGCACACAAATGACTGAAGCTTTGAAAACATATATGCAAATTTCCCTAATCTTCGCCCTTTTTTTTGTTTTCCGTTTTTTCGTTAGGTGTCAAATGTGATGACATACCTGGTCGTATAAATCAGACTTCCATCTTTATCAAGCGAGGAGTTTACTATGGTCAATGTAGTGAACTTTGTGGTACCAATCATGCCTTTATGCCTATTGTAGTGGAAGCTGTCTCTTTCAATGATTATGTTTCTTGGGTGTCTAATAAAATTAGACTAAAAAACAAAGGTCCTGGACGAAAGCAGTGAGTGTGGAAGGATCTTTATTACGTTGGGAGCAATTTGTGAGGATCTTTTCTGAGTCTTGTACTCTGCGGTCCTTTTTGGTTACCCGAATCTCTCAGACTTGGTATGAAAGGAAGCAGAGTTGAATCTTTACTTCCAGTCGTCACGAAGTGACTGTTCTGCCTTCTTGCAAAGGAACTTTGTCAAAAAATTATCTCCACCTTTGCATGAAGAAAGCAGAAAGATGACAAAAGGATGAAAGAAGAGAATGCAGAACGAAATGTGGTCATCCATCTTGACTCACCATTGATTTGATGCTTCTGTAGAACAGATGGCCTGGCTGTTGAAGAGCTGTGTGTGTCGATTGACTCCATTGTCGACTCCTGATGGCTGAAACAGGAAAGGCTGCTGCTGCCGTTGTCCAAATCTGCAGCTGGCTATGATGGTATGCCACTGTTTCATGTGTCACATCAACAGAGCAAAGACATTACAAATGAAAAGCCTTATATAGCAAGTACGAGGATTTTACCGATCGGCATAGCGGCATAAGGCCTCTGCAGCAAAGGCGTGCCCGCCCTAAGTGAAGGCAGGCCCCCGAATCTCAATGAGCCCTGAATTCGTCAAATTTTGCAAATCTTGTTGGGCGCCAGACAGTTGCCACGCACCAGCTGGTTATATCCGCCTTGCAAGTGAGAAATGGGAAAGATTTGTGAGCGTTCTGGGCCCTTCCAGCAACGTGGGGTAGGCAGGGAACATCGCACGAATGTGCCTGGGTGGTTGGACATGCCTAACCAAATTAGTCCCAGGCCACTGTCTGAACAGGGCTGGACGCAGACACTTTGGCAGAGACTGAAGCTACTGGAAATTCGGTCTCACGGGGCAAGCCAGTGGCAACGAGCCTGCCAGTTTCCATACAGGAAAGGGCCGGGCTGCGAAGAAGGCATTCGGGGAGCGCTGCTGGAGCGAGCGCTCGCGTGCTGCTGCTAGCTGCTAGCGCAGGTGCCTGTGCGCGTGCGCGGACGTGCAGGGTGAAGGGCGCTGAGGGAATTCGGGCACTTGGGAGAGCAGGCGGCAGCGCTGCTGTAGCGAGCGCTTGTGTGCTGCTGCTAGCTGCTAGGGCAGGTGACTGTGCGCGTGCGCGGACATGCAGGGTGAAGGGCGCTGCTGTGGGCAGCGCCATAGCAGAGCCCCCATAGCCGGGCTCCAGCTTGGATGGTCAGCGGAGGAGGTGGTCGTCTTCGTGTATGAGGAAGAAGACGTGGGGTGAAGAAGATGAGGGGGAGAGAGAGAGAGAGATGAGGATGATGATGTGAGGGCACGTACCTGGTCTCGGCGATGGTCCACAGGGTCGACATCTTCATGTACTCCGGTTGTTGCTGCTGACGTCAACAGGTTGCATTGTCAATTCGTAGGCTGGGTAGTAGCTGTGCGATCGTAGTCTGGGCAACGAGCGCCAAGTAGGAGGAAGGGCTCCAGATACATATCTTGTTGGTGGCGAGAGTATGCTGTCATTGACATTTGGATTCGGTGCTTTGGTTCTTGGTTGGTGGAATATCAGTGCATATCTGCTTTCTGGACAGCGGTCGACTTTCTGGCTTTCAATGTGATTTTGCATTCTGGAATTCTGTCATTTTGCTCTCTCTCATTTTCCTTGCACAACGCTACAATAAACAGAAAAAAGACTACCGTCTTCACCCGAATAGAACGCCCGGTCATTCTAGCCGTATCTGGTACAATTTCGAGTCCAGATACAGCTATAATGACCAGCGGTAGTGTAGAAAAAGAAAGAAAGAGCAACGGAGATACCTTTTTCGGCCTTTTCGCTAAGGTCAAGTGCAGTACATGTTCTGATCCCTGGTCCATCGTGCAAGGAAAATGAGGAGCCTTCTCCTCGCAATCGGGCAACATTAAAAAAAAAAAAAAAGGGGAAAGAAAGTCCAACAGTCTGCAGAGGCGAGTGATGAACTAAAATGTGGCTCAGGACAATGACAGAACAGGATCAATCACCACTTATCGGTAATAGCACCAAGCTGGCGTGAACCTCGTGCAAGTAGAGATTCAACGTGGACCACCACAACTGAGCAAGAGCAACTGCAGCATAGCGGCTCAAAATAACCTTAGTACCCATGGAATGCAAGGGTTCTGGAAGATGATGCTCTGGACCTTATCTTATTCATACATCAATAACATAGCATTGAAACCCGAAGTAGTATGCAGGGCAATGGGCATCCTTTAGAATCTAAGGCAGCCATGCAGATCAGCATCAACTGCCACCCTGAACCAAGAGGAGGTGGGATCTTGTCATGTAACAGCCATCAGACCCCAATGCACCCCATGTAGCTTTTCGGTTCTCGAGGGTGCAGGCTGTCAGCAGCCAACCAGAACCCGAAACAGTGTGCTTCACAAGCCCTTGCAGACCCTGACATGCAATTCTACACGGAGTTGTTTGGCTCTCGGGGAGCATGCAGAGAGAACAAGGAAATGCCATACAAAAGAGAGACAGCAAGACTGCACACGCAGACACACACACATATACATGACTTTCATGTTGGACTTGAAAAATAATGATAAAATGAAAAATAAAATAACACGAAAAAGAGTACAAAATAAGAAATGAAAAAATGCAAAAGAAGAAAAATGAAGGAAGAAAATTTAGAAAAATGAAAAAAATCCCACCGACGAAGATTTCGCACGCTGAAGCGCGAGCACCAACGGTACTCACGTGGGCTGGCGACCAGCCGGCACAAACAGCGGCGACGATGTAACTTTTGCCAAGGGAATCGCCGGGATACTCCATCGCAACGAGGGCGAGGGTTAAGGCATGCAGGGTGCTGAAGGGTGGGAAAGGGAGCAAGACACGCGTAGACTAGGGACTGAAGGGGAGGAATAAGGAAGGACTCCTAAAAAGCAGGAGAGGGGAGAGGGACACGTGCGTTAGAGGGAGAGAGGGCAAAGGGAGGCAAGGCAATCAGAGAGCAAAAAAAAGAAGGGGGGCGAAAAGAGCAAAGAAGTGAAGGCAAGGCGAAGATAGGGCGAAGGAGAAAAGGAATCAAGAGCAAGAGTGTGGAAAGGGAAAAGCAAGAGAGCAGGGAACAATAGGAGGGCAGGGAGATAAGGGGAAGTATAGGTGAACGAGGGACGACCAAGGGAAAGTAGAAGTATAGTAGGTGAAGTTAAGGAAACAAGGTGGGGGAAACGACTGAAAACCAGCGAGAAAACGGAAACAGGAAAAAGAGAGTAAGTTAGTAGGCAGAACGAGTGAGAGCAGGGACGGGAGCTATGGCCAAGGGAACGGCAGGAGAGACATGGCAAGTGGGAAACCACAGAAATAAGGGACCGAGGGATGAAACGAACGGAAAAGGGATAAAAAAGATTGTAAAAGGAGGCAAGAAAAGTGAGTGGGGGCAACAGCGGCGTTGAGGAGAAGGTCAACAAAGGTCAAACATAGCAGCATCAAACTCGGCGGCCACTCAGAAGGCCATGAACGACAAGGAAAAATTGGAATTCAATCAAGACCAGAATTCATCAGTGGCAACTCAACCATCCCAAGCATCTTCACAAGCAACCGCCTCTGGTGGAACGGGAGCCTCCAAACCACGAACGCTACCGTAGAGAGCCATGAAATTTGTTGGAAAAAACAAAATTACAGTGGAGATTGAAGTCACAAAAGAAAGTCCTCAAGGGGGAACCAGGTAAGGAGGAAAAGGTGGATGTATGGGAAAAGTGGATATTCCCTTGATCAACGAGCTCTATGAGCGTCACGCGGTCCTCTTCAATTTTTCTGGCAAAAAACGGGAACTCTCTTTGAATGAGAAGCGCGGATGGGTAATGGATAGGCTTCGAGCTCTGGATAGTGTGCCAGGGCACGAACCGGAGGTATCATATCACAAGTGAGGGCAATTCACGGTGATTCTTTGTGTGGATCTGACCTACGCAGTACATTCTTTCACTTGGCTCGCTGAAGTGCAAGGGAGCAGTGATGACAATTCAAGCATGGAAGCCACCACACCCTCCTCAGGCAGAAGCATCAAGACATCGTCAGTCAATGATGAGGAATCACTTCTGGGTTCAGTTTGATAACCTCTCAGAAGGTATGCACAGCTTTGTGCAGAGGAGGCTGGCAGGGGAATATCCCAGCAACCCCATCATTGGTTGGCTTCCAGCTAGCAGAAAAGATCATTCTCTATAGGAAAGGCGCTCGCGCAATGGCGGAACATGCTGATGTCAACGTGCGTGCTGGAGGTGTGGCGCTGGCAGCGTGCGCTTGGTGGGGCACTGGTCAGCCATCAGTGGCGAGGCGCTGGTTGTGCGTTGGTCAGCCATCGGTGGCGAGGCCCTGGTTGTGCATTGGTCAGCCATCGGTGGCGAGGCGCTGGTTGTGCACTGGTAGTGGGGCGCTGGTGGTTCGAAGGTGGCGAGGCGCTGACTCTCTGAGAGGAGCGAGGCGCTGGTTGCTCGCGGATGGTGAGGCGCTGGCTACAGGTAAGCAGCGAGGCGTTGGCGACTGGCGGATGGCGTGGTGCTGGCTTCATGCACGTGGCATGGTGCTGACACCTAGTGCGTGGGGATGCGTTGGCATGAGGATGCTGTGAGGGGATAGAAGGATCTGGCGATAGCGCTTAACGCACGCGTGGCATCCAGAGGCACTTGGCCAATCCACGTCATAGGCTATTGTGGCGGCTGGCCTGAGGCATTGTGGAAAAGGGAGAATTGTGGTGGAAGTTGTGGTTTGTTCATTTCCCCTGTGCTTTCCACGTCAAGTACTCCATAGCCAATGCCCTTATAGAGGCTGGAGCGCTCGAGCGAGTTGGCAAATGTCAACGTCGGTGGAAGAAAGTGGAGTCAGCCCCATGGAACCAAAGTGTGGAGACCGTTGGACCAGCTTGGAGCATCATCATAGCAGGAGGATTGTCGGCGAGATCATCATCAAGAGACTTCCTGGTGCCCAATCATGATTCACGGGTAGCATGTTTGGAAGTCAAATCGGGCACACCACCAAAATTTCCGGAGTAGTGGATATTCCGGAAGAGTAGGCAAAGGCTCACCATCTTCATCTCGACAAAAACAAACCCCTTCTATTTCAAGTGCCGACGCAGAGGTCACCTGGGATCACACTGTCCGCAGGCGGGTGCAGGCAACAAACAAACCCCACTGCAACAATCGATGCTGGTGGAATGCGAAAATAAGCTAGGGTTCTGGTACATCAAATCGGTGCAATACCAACGTCGGATATTCGATGACAACCTTGAGACCCCAAGGTTGGTATGGGTACTTAAGACCACACCAACAGTGAAGTCGTACTAATACCCACCATACGATAGCAGATGGAGGCACACAGGAGCCAAGAGAATGGAGGAGAAAGAAATGGGCTACCTCAGCCTACCTGACCAAACCAATGCTCCACTGATCAACAATCCAAGATGACCAATGGAGGATTCACACCATGGAGGAATTACACCAAGTTGGAGGAACGGCGGAAAGGGCGTTCCTGTAGAATTATAGGATCTGGAACCAGCAGAGGAATCAACAGTAGAG